GAGTCTTTCTATTACTCTTAGAAAGGGGGTTAGAGCTTGCACTCAACACTCCATTTCTAAATTTGTGTTATATGATTCATTGTCTTCTACATATCATGCTTTGTCTTGTCTTTGTCTTTTGCATGTATTCCCCAGGGTTGGAAAGAAGCTATCAATGATCCTAAGAGGAAAGTAGCTATGGTGGAAGAGATGCAAGCTCTAAGCAAGAATAAAACTTGGGAGTTGGTTCCTCTTCCTAGTGAAAAAAAGCTTGTAGGATGTAAGTAGGTGTTCACCATCAAGCAGAAAGCAAATGGAACAATTGAATGGTACAAAGCACGATTAGTGGCCAAGGAGTTTACTCAAACATATGGAATTGATTACCTTGAAACCTTTGCTCCTGTAGCAAAGATGAATTCCATTCGAGCTATTCTCTCATGTGCAGCTAATTTGGGATAGCCTTTACAGCAATTAGATGTGAAGAATGCCTTTCTCCATGGTGATTTGGAGGAGGAGGTATATATAGATCTACCACCAGGATTCTCATCTCAATCTACAGTTAGGAAAGTTTGTAGGTTGAAAAAGGCGTTATATGGGTTGAAATAGTCTCCTCAAGCTTGGTTTGACAGATTCCTGAAGGCTATGTTGAGATTCGGATATAAGCAAAGCAATGAAGATCACACAATGTTCGTTAAACGCCATGCAAATAAGGTAATTGTCCTTATAGTATATGTGGCTAACATAGTTGTGACATGTAATGATGAAGTGACACATCTTAAGATGATGTTGGCTAAGGAATTTGAGATCAAAGACCTTGGTACGTTGAGGTACCTCTTAGGATTGAAGTTGCTAGATCTGACAAAGGCATCCGTACTTCTCAGCAGAAGTATATCCTAGATCTTCTTGAGGAAACTGGCATGTTAGATTGCCGACCTGCTGATTCGCCAATTGAGGCTAATCACCATCTTTGTAGTGGTGTTGGTGATCTTGTGGAGAAGGAAAGGTACCAACTACTTGTGGGAAGACATATATTTATCCCACACTCGTCCAAATATTGCCTATGCTGTTGGGATAGTGAGTCAATTTATGCATGAACCTCGTGTCCCTCATTGGGATGCAGTGTATCGCATTTTGAGGTATCTTAAATCTGATCCTAGAAAAGAGATTTTATTTTCCAATCATGGTCACTTGAGGTTGGAGGCATTCACAGATACTGATTGGGTTGGTTCTATAGATGACAGACGATCTACCTCCAATTACTGTGCATTTGTGGAGGGGAATTTAGTCACATAGCATAGTAAGAAGCAAACAGTGGTGTCCAAATCAATGCAGAGACAGAATACAGGGCTATGGCATATGGTACATGTGAACTGATGTGGCTCCAGTCCTTATTGAATGATATTAGGTTTGTTTCCAGTGAAGCATTGACACTATACTGTGACAACAAAGCTTCCATTAGTATTGCTCATAATCATGTTCAACATGATAGAACGAAGCATATTGAGATCGACAGACATTTCATCAAAGAGAAATTGAATAAGGGTTTAATATGTATGCCTTTTGTGAAGTCTGAAGATTAATTGGCTGATGTCTTTACTAAGGGTCCTAGTAGTAAAGTTTTCCATCCCATTTGTTGCAAGTTGGGAATGAGAGATATCTTTGCACCAACTTGAGGGGAGTGGTAAGTATTAGTGTGTAAGGGTAGTTATGTCATTTGTTCCTTTAGTCTTTTATTATAAGTATGTGTAACTGTTAGATTTGCATAAAAGAAAGAGAGGAAGAAAAGAGAGAGCACTGCTGCTGCTGCTGTATATTATTTTCACACACCTAAACATATTAGGGTTACACATACTTATAATAAAAGACTAAAGGAACAAAAGACATAACTACCCTTATACACTAATACTTAACAGTTACCCTAATATGTTTAGTTGTTAGAAAATAAACACAGTAGCAGTTCGCTTTCTTTTCTTCTTCTCATTCTTTTCTTTCTTTTATGCAAATCTAACAGATACCAAAAAAATCTTCAAGTCCATTGAAAATAGGTGTCCAGAAGAAGTTCGCCCGAGCCAACAGGAAGAGGTAGAAGAGATTGGACCAAAACTCAGAAGGTTGGAAAGACAATTTAAGCCTAATCCGAAGTATGCAAATGTTGCTCTAGCCGAAGAAGATAGCATTACAGAGCCAATGACATTTGAAAAGCATCCCAAAGCAAAGCATGGCAGAAGGCAATAGAGGAAGAGATTCAAGCCCTCAAGCAAAATCAAACATGAGAGCTAGTTCCTAAGCCAAAGGACATGAAGCCAACATCATGCAAGCGGGTGTACAAAGTAAAAACTTGTCCTGATGGATCCATAGAAAGGTACAAAACACATCTAGTGGCTCGAGGCTTCTCACAGCATTACGGACTGGACTATGATCAAACATTTAGTCCAATAGCAAAGATCACAACGGTGCGAGTACTAATAGCTCTTGCAGCCAGCAAGTCATGGAAGCTGTGGCAGATAGACGTGAAGAATGTTTTTCTACACGGCTAGATAGATCAAGATATATACATGGAGCAACCCAAGGGTTTGAAAGCAAAGTCCATCCAACTTATGTTTTCAAATTAAAGAAAGCCTTGTATGACTTAACACAAGCGTCAAGGGCATGGTATGTCAAAATAGCATAATTTCTAGCACAAATCGGGTACTCAGTGGCACCAACAGACTCAAACCTATTCGTCAAGTTTCAAGGTAGGAAACTAGCTACAGTGCTAGTATACGTGGATTACTTAATCATCACCGGAGATGACAAAGAAGAGATCCAAAGAGCAAGAGAGAACTTGTCAATACAATTTCAAATGAAGGAGCTTGGAGAATTCAAGCATTTTCTCGGGCTTTAAGCAGAACGAAGCAACGAAGGCTTATCCTCTGCCAGCATAAATATGCTAAAAATTTGCTACAGAAGTACAGGATGCTTGAGTGCAAGCCAGTTTCTACAGCAATGGAGATGAATGCCAAGTTCTGCTCAAAAGAAGGTAAAGACTTGGAGGATGTAACAATGTATCGACAACTGGTAGGTAGTTTAATCTACCTCACCCTCACTCGACCAAACATTAAATGTGCAATCGGTGTAGTAAGCTGGTATATGCAAAAGCCGAAGAAGCCTCATCTAGAAGTAGTTCGCCAAATACTCCGATATGTGAAGAGTACAATTGACTTTGATCTCTTGTACAAGAAGGGCGAAGCATGCAAGGGAATTAGCTACCGTGATGCCGATTAAGAAAGCACATGACTAAAACAAGCCAAAGAAGGGAGAGCTCATGACACATGGAGGTCAACTACTGGATACGTGTTCAACCTTGGTTCAGGAGCAATCTCTTGGTGCAGTAAGAGACAACCTACAATATCATTATCTACCACAGAGGCTGAATACAGAGCAGCAGCAATGGCAGCTCAAGAAAGCACATGACTTATGCAATTGATGAAGGCTTTACACCAACAAGTTGACTATGAAGTACCGTTGCACTGCAACAATCAGTTAGCAATACGCTTGGCTAAAAATCCAGTGTTTCATGCAAGAACAAAGCATGTGGAAGTACATTACCATTTCATCAAAGAAAAGATGCTTCAAGGAAAGATAGAGATGAAACCAATCAGAATAGATGACCAAGTAGTTGACTTGGTCACTAAAGCACTTGGAGCTTCAAAGTTTGTAGAGCTTCAGAAGCAACTCAACTTAACTACAAAAAGAACTAAAGAAATGAGTCAATGTTGAAGGGGGAGTGTTAAGAGCCATCATTGACTCTGCTAGAATTATCTAGGCCATTAATTACATATGTTGAATAATCTAGAAGATTCTGGAAAGATCTGGAAGATTCTAGAACATCGTAGAAGCTTCCGGAACATTAGAGAAGCTTGTAGAAATCCAGAAAAATCTAGAAGGTTCCAACAGGTTCTAGAATTTATAGAAGTATGAAAAGTACTACTATATACTAGAATAGTTTATAGAGTTCTAGAATATAGGGAAAGTAAGTACATGCTAGAAAATTCTATAGGCTTAATAATAGCCCTTGGATCAAAATGATCCTAGCCATCCATTGAGAAGGTGGATGGCTATATAAAGACAAGTGACCTCATTTGGAAGGTACAACAATAACAACAAGAAGTGGAGTCAAGTGCTCAAGTGTGAGTGATTCCAAAGCAAGGTGTCCTTGAGAGGCTCCTTGTATACTTGAGTGTATCTTTGTATCTAAATAAATATTCACTTTTGTATCTAAATAAATATTCACTTGCGTATCTTTGTTAGTGATTCCAAAGTGAATATTTATTTAGATACAAAGATACACTCAAGTATACAAGAAGCCTCTCAAGGACACCTCACTTTGGAATCACTCAAACTCGAGCACTTGACTCCACTTCTTATTGTTGTTGTGTCTTGTTCTTGTACCTTCCAAATGAGGCCTCCTCAATGGATGGCTAGGATCATTTTGATCCAAGGGCTATTATTAACCCTCTAGAATATTCTAACATATACTCATACTTATCCTATATTCTAAAACTCTCCAAAATATTCTAGTATATAGTAGTACTTTCTATTAAAAAATAAATAAATAAATAAAAAACAACGCCCAAATAGTACACATTAATGTGTGTTTGGAAAGAGAAAGATTGGGTACACACCTAATTGAGCAGAAACTGCGGATCAAAATTTAGCTCTAATACCAAATTGACGTAGAATGCTATGGGAAAGACAAGAAAAGAGAAGAAGAGGGCCAAAGCCGTAACACAAACAACCATAGCCTACTCAATATCTCTTTAATCCATAGCTGAATATTACCATGATAAAACCTAATATTTATAGACCACTAACCCTAATTGCACTAGAAAACTAAATCCTAATGGTATTTGGAAAGTAAAGACTTCTAATAAGGCTCAACCACAATAGGAAACTAAATCGTAATATTATTTGGAAAGCAAAGGCTCCTAATCAAACTATAGTTAAAAATACAAAAATTAAAATAAATAAATTTTTCTTACAATTTCATCAATCTCCCAACCTTCAAGCACCAATGACGGCCATAAATCAAGCATCAAATGAGCAGCTGTTCCGCCACCCTGAAATATTTCAACAAATTTTAACTTCAGCTACTCATAAACCTATTACTCTTGTCCATAGAATGTAATGTTAAATAGCAACAGGAGATCCCTGCATCATATCACAATCATTGAACTACCAAACCAAAAATTGCAATGGGTCCCTGCGGAACAATAGCTGGCAAGCTAGCACACTCATCCTGCATAATGAAATAGATCCCATGAAATCAGGTGGAAGAATTAAATTATAGGTCTCTATAGACATGCCAAGACATATAGAAGTTGGACAGGAAAACTAACAGAGGATGCATTTTTTGCAATTTCAAGTTTCAACATAAAAAACCAATAAAATTTAATGATAATCGAAGTAAATAACTTTACTAATTCAAAAATGCATGGGAAATTAAATCAATGGTCAATTTACATGTAAGGGGGGATCTATAGATAAAAATGTATGTGATGAAAAGAATTTTCTCATACCCAATATGAACCAGTCCATTTCTTTGCCTTGTTATAAATGCTGTGAACGTTGTCTGCACCAGCACGAACAACAACTCAAGGGCACTCAGATAATAGTCCTTTCCAGCATACATAATAATGCAAGAATTGGATGTTGTTATGAGAGGATAAATATTGAAAAATTTAGAAAAGCATTCATATACTCTCCTTATTGAGGGGAAAGCAGTTTCAATTTAAACGCACCAGATAGTACAGTACATGGGACATTTGAATACTTAATCAAGCTAGATGGGTTCTCCAGGGTGGAAACAAATTATTGTGAGAGTGGAAGGTAATGCAAAACAATTGCTAATACAAAACAAAGGAGACAAAGGTGGGAAACGGGGTAATAAAAAAATAAAAATAAAAATGCCAAATTGAGAAGCTGAAATAGTTAAAGAACTCGGGCTGTAAAGCTATGTTTGGATTGAGTGATTTGGAGAGCAAAGAAAAGAAATTGAGTGATATATATTTCTCTTATTTGTTTGGATAATCTAAGTAGAGAGAAATGGGAAGAAATGAAGAGAAATGGAGAGAAACTCAATTCTCTTATAAGTCTCATTTTCAATCTTTCTAAAAGTGGAGAGATTGGGAGAGAAAAGAAACTACTATTTTCATAATACCAATTTTGTCCCTATAAAAATAAAAGAAATAAAATGATTGAAAATATAAAAAGGTTATTTTGATAATATAACATAAAATAATTTCTTTTCTTTTCTCTTAATGAAACCTAACCAAACAAGAATGAGAGAAATCACAATCATTTCTTTTCTTTTATTTCTTCCTTATCCAAACAAAAATGAGAGAATCACAGTTATTTCTTTTCTTTTCTTTTCTCTTATTACTTAAGTAATCATTTCTTTTCTTTCCTCTCCGAAGTTCCCAAGCATAGTGTAAGTCTAATTTCAAAACTTTTGACGCAATAACCCCAAACTCTACTTTTTGACCATACTACCACTACGAATCTGTCCGCTATCCATCTATTTGTCTACGTCACCTATCTGTCCAAGTCACATATACGTCCACGTCCATGTGCATCCCTGTGCATCCCTTATATGTCCACATGTCATCTATTTGTCCACCCAATTTGTTTATTGTCTATATCACCACCACCAGCAGTTTGGCGCTGACAGTGGTCCGGCAACGGTCCAGAACGGTGATCTAGCGGTGGTAGGGTAAAAATGGATTAAGAAAATTCCTTCAAAACATGTCTTTATCACGAAATAATTTCATTAATCATGGCCTTTTGTACCCATAGATCCTAAGGTCATATTGATATATATAAATGGATTTATCACCAAAAAACCCAAAAAATAGCTTCCATATGAAACAATTTGGTTCCATATTCTAATCCATTTACAGTATAAAATACAGTGTACCACTTCATCATGTCTGTTGGAAATGTGATGGAACATTTTCAAAACCATTTGAGTGCAGGTGTGTGCGGGTTGGGGAATTGGAGAGAGTGAGAGAGAGCATACGGCTGGAATCGAGGAGCAGCATTCTGGAGTGTGGAGTATCCAGAATAACTATATCGTTATAATAGCTTGTAAGGGCGGTCACCACTTGAAATTCTTCTACTTGTTCATCACCATCATCGTCTTGTTGAGCTAAATTCAAAGCCAAGCATCGAACAGCATGCGATTTTTGTTTGGGACATGAGAAAAAATTGAAGGAAGAGGAAGGGAGCGTAGTGAATCTAGAATTAGAAGACGAAACTTGTTTGGAAACTAATAGAAAGGAGTTACACCAGCCGCACCAACCGCATCGATAACGACCAACGGGAACAAGGGGCAGAACGGAGATTAACGATGATGATGTCAATGAATTCATACTTCTTCTTCTTCTTCTTCTTCTTCTTCTGTAACTGGATTACAAGACTCACCGAAAAGCAAACCAACGGATAGAGTGGGGGCTAACGCTATGTTTGGATTGAGTTATTTGGAGAGAAAAAGAAATGGAATGGAATGGAGATATTTATTTTGGGAAGTGGGTTGGCTTTTTGGCTTTTTGGTTTTTTTAGCCTGGGCTATTTTAGCCTGGTTTGGGAAGGGCTTTTTGACTTTTTGGCTTTTTTGACTTTTTTTGTGAGAGAGGATTGTAATGATTAGGGGTTGGATTTGATGTTTTGTTTTTTGTGGCTAAAATAGCCTATTTTGTTTTTTGTGGCTATTTTAGCCCCAAACCCACCCAAACCTTCTTGCCAAACATAGACAATCTAAGTGGAGAGAAATGGGAAGAAATAAAGAGAAATTGAAAAAAACTCATTTCTCTTATAAGTCTCATTCATTTTTCCCAAAAGTAAAGAGATTGGAAGAAAAAAGAAATCACTATTTTCATAATATCAATTTTGTCCTTATAAAAATAAAAGAAATAAAATTATTGAAAATATAAAAAGGTTATTTTGGTAGTATAACATAAAATAATTTCTTTTCTTTTCTCTTAATGAAATATAACCAAACAAGAATGAGAGAAATGGCAATCATTTCTTTTCTTTCATTCTTCCTTATTCAAACAAAAATGAAAGAAATCACAATCATTTCTTTTTTTTTTCTTTTCTCTTATAACTTAAGTAATTCTTTCTTTTCTTTTCTCTCCTAGGTTCCCAACATAGTGTAAATTACACCCACCTCCCTAATATTTGAATAAAATATTTACCCCTATGCTTTTTCCCCATTTTTAGTGACACTTCTAGTGAATAATTTCAATTTTATCTTTTGAAATTTTTAAAATCGTATCAATTTTGTCTCTGTTGTCATATTTAAAATAGAAAAAAAAAATTAAAAAAAACTTATATTTTGACTCTAAATTTCAAAAAAAAAAAAGAAAAGATACAAACTCATCATCTTCCATCCAAACTCACCTTCTCTGATCTTCTTCCAATTCTTCTCTCTTTCCTCCACCCTTGCAAACACTTCCACCAACCACCAACTTCCCAAATTCACTCATTCACTCCAAATTCTCAAACTCTACACTAGACTATGAAACAAGCAAAATTCGTGGCAAACAAAAAGGGTTTAACAATAGAGGACTATCGCCCCAACGAACTCGTCGAAGTTCACGGCAAACAAGAAGGGTTATTGGGCTCCCACTACCTGCAACACTTCTCACTGCAAATTGGGTTCGAACAAAGTATCATACACTTTATCGTCTTCTCAACACTTAATTCCTCCATTTTTTGAAAAATCTTCACACTCTCTTGAACAATACCCGCCTTACTATAGCTATCAATCAACATAACAAACATGTCATCTCATTCTACACTAGTCTTTGGTATATCCAATAGTATACACCGAGCATGGTTGAGCTTCAAAGCTCGACCCAAAATCTCAATTATCTTGTAATGGGTCTATTTATCATGCTGAACAACCCAACTCACTCAACCCACCGGAAAAATTAGAGAGCATGCTCTGTGTTATGAGCACCGTGCAACATATTATAAACAAGTGAGTGATCAAATTTAGGTACTAAATTCCTAATTGAGTTCTGTAAATGAGTCGTCCAAGGCCGATTTGCCATCATTCTACATACAATATCCTTTAATTTTTCTAGGTTTCGATGCTTACCTCATAGGGTTCTTTGATTCACAATTGCTTCGCCATTTGGGCTTTCGGACACGGTATATGCAGTTGAAACAAGGGAGTCTAGTTCTAGGTTTGGGATTGGATCATTGGAAGAGAGTAAGGAATCGATTGGTGAGTCTAAAACAGATGAGCAAAAGAAATAGAGGGATTTGAGGAAAATGAGATTTGAAATCAAGTAAAACCTAGGTTTCAAAAGAGGTGGCTTTGATGTAGAGATATAGGCCATTTCTGGGTATTTCTCTGATCTATGAAATGAGTGTGAAAAAACTACAGAATGAAAGGGGTGATTCTTTGTTGGGTTAAGTTTGGTTCATCATATGAAGTAAAAGAGAGACGAGAGAGAGAGAGAGAGAAAGAGAGAGAGAGAGAGCAAAGACTGTTTAGAATTTGGAGTAAGTGAGTGAGTGAATTTGGATTTGAGAGAAGTTGGGTTGGAGAATTGAGTGATTATGGTGGTGGTTGGTGGTGGTGGTTGGTGGTGGTGATAGCGCTTGCAAGGACGGATGAGAGAGGGAAGAGTTGGAGAATAAAGAGAGAGGGTAAGCTTGGGTAAGAGATGGTGGGTTTGCATTTTTTCTTTTTGAAATTTGGGGCCAAAATATAATTGTTTAAACTTTTTTCGTTTCAAATGCAACGACAGGTGCAAAATTTTTGAAATTATTATTATTTTGGTTTAGCTTTCTATTTTGGTCTATCCTAAACAATTTGTTCACTTTCTGTCATGACCCAAACCCGCCCCATAGGTTTAGAGTCATGACTGGCCAGTAATCCTAGATTACCTTCGGCCTCAAAAACAAAATTTCAAAATATTTAAAAAACATCGAGGCCTAAAACGGAAGCAAAACAAAAATAATAATGTCCATTAAGCTTGTGCATACATGATGACTAAAATAATTAAAACATTTAAACACAATAATAATTTATATACATATACAAATCTTATATATCTCACACACATATACATTTAAGACTTAGAAAAATACAAAACTTTGACAAGGCTAAGGGGCTGATTTTCTTGGCTTTACTTGAGCCTATTTGCTCCATTCCGAAAGCTCTTCAAAAAACTGACACGGGTAGACTCCGAAGCTTTCTCTATCCTTGTTGCTCAGTTTGCTCACCTACAAACCCAGCGAATAGTAACAGGATAAAGAGATTAAATGAATGAAGTTCGACGATAGTACAAAAACATGTCTTAATTTCGAAATGAATCTTAAATCATTTTCAAAGTGAGGCATTTGCCACATTATATCGAGTTTATAACAAAACATTTTCCATGTTGAATCCTATATCAAAACATATCTTCCATTTTTCGAAGCAATCCATTTTAATAGGCAGAACATTTCGATTAGCAATCATATCATCTCTTTACAATAACAAAAGCCATTCATATCATTATATGTGGTACATCCATGAAACAATAATATTCCAATAACAATGGACCGCAAAGGTCAAGCCAATGGGCCACGAAGGGTCAAACCAATAGACCACGAAGGGTCAAACACTAGAGATCTCCGTGTATCAATCAATCCAGTAGCCATGGTATTGTTACCCCCAGGTAAGGGCCTATAATCAATGGATGCCACAACACAGTTACAATTGTGAACTTCATTCATCGATAGAAATATCATTTTAATAAATCATTCAATCGATCGTATATTGATTTCAAGAACAATAGCAATTTCAAAAATAAATAATACTTGAACATATCTTTATAACGTTACTACTCACAGTGGGTTAAGTCGATGTAAGGTCTCAGACGTCTACTTATACAAATCATATAACAAAAACACAATAGAAGCATCATTCAATATTCATTTCATTTTAATTCAACTCTCTTTATATGTGTTTCTAGCTCATTCCATGACTATGTGATCCAATTGGTGCCTAATACTTAGATTGTCACGAGGATGCAAATAGGCATTTAAAAGAGTTAGTAAAAAATTACCGAAAACAGGGTCTTTGCGTTCGAGCGATCTACAAAACTCTGCAAAAATACTGGATGGCCTCAATGTTCGCTTTAGTAGTGACTTTTCCGCTCAAGCGGTCTGCAAATTTTCTGTGTTTTTTGAAAACCAATAAAAATAATTTCTAAACACATTTTCAAAACTTAGACTCTTGCATGAATCAATTTAAACATGTAATTTCATTAGTAAAGATGAACCCATGACCAATTTTTCAATTTCTAATACAAAAATCTCTTTGACCATTAAGATTAAAAACCAATAATTTCATGAATATAATAATTCCAACATTCTTAATTCTTTGTTTTATAAAACAAAAATTAAAGCTATAAAGCCCTTTCAAAAATATTTGCATGTAAGAAATTTAAATCAAAATCAAACTAACTTTTGATTCTCAAATATAAATTATAATTTATTTCTAAATTTGTTCAAATTTAGATTTAATTTATTTTCTTCATATCGATCCAATTTCAAACCCACAAATTTTAAAACATGAATTGAACTTTCAAAACTCTTGAAAAATTCATGATGCATGTACAATTGAAACTCAATTTCATGTTAAGACAACTAATCAAACCCAAAGTGATTAATTTCTAAGTTAATTCCCATAAATTTGAACCTAACTACATTGCATGGATCAAATCTTTAATACATCATTGTTGCATGTAATTTATACAACACAATTCAAGAACAATTCTCAAAATTAACCCAAATTTAACAAATTTGAAGAATCATAACTCATATTCTTCAACCTAACTTGATTTTACATGCAAAACCCAATTTCTATCAATATATATAATTAGTCTTCAAATCTTCATTTTTAATCCTCTCAAAATTCACCTTGAATCAATTTTTGTTTAGCTTATTTAAACAACACTAGAAAGAGAATGGAATTTCTTAACTTAAGATGAATTTTTCATAATTTTTAACTTCAGTTTTGGTATCCCACAAAACCCTCTTCTTCTTCATTCTTCCTCTTTTCTTTTCCCACGGTTTGCTTCTGCAGATTGACCACAATGTATGTATAAGTAATGAAGCGCGCTCTCTCTCTCTCTCGCAGCTGCTTCTAGGGCACACTTGCACCTCCCTATTTTGATTTCATTTCTTTCTTTATTTCATTCTTTCTCTTGAGTAAAGTCTCCAACACCAAGGTACAAACATACACCCATTACTAACTCATCACACTACACACGTGCACATTCTAGATATTTCTTCAATTTAATTAAGGGGAGTTTACCAATAAGTTCCATATGCAAAGTTCAAGACCCATCTAATCCTCAAACAAAACACTTGCACCAATTAGTCCTATACATTTTTAATTGTTACCAAAAAATCTTACTACCGGCGGACTTCCGTCAAACAGTCACCAGAGACTCGTCGGAATGTTCAACATCACCAGG